CCCTTTGCTTCTCTCTCTGTCTCTCTCTCTCTCTCTCTCTCTCTCTGGTCACATTAAAATAAATGAATGGATAAATTAAAATTTTCTTTAAAAAATAAATGTTTTAAATAAATAATAAATTTTTAAAAAATAAATTTATTTCCCTGACAAGGGAAATAAATAACAGAGAACGTCACGGACCGAAGGCAATCCGGGAGGGCTTCCTTGAGGAGGTGATGTCTAAGCTTAGACCTACAAGAGGTTGGAGACTATATAAAATAAAGAGGGGGGGCCAACAGGTGATATGGCAGGGTGGTTAAGGGGGCTGGACTCCCACGTAGCTGACAGGGGTCGAGTCCCAGACCCTAGCAAGAAATCACCTCCAGAGGGAGATGGCCACGCTGCAATCCCTTCTCCATTATTTTCCTCTCAGGATTTTAGGCACACACACACACACACACACCCAGCATGAGTTTTAAGCCGCCAGGTCTGGGACTTGAACCACAGTCAAATGTGTGGGAGTCCAGTGACGTAACCAGTACACCATCTGTGGGTTCCCCACCAGAGTGATTTTCAAGCCACCTGGTCTGGGATTCAAACTACAATAGTCAACATGGGAGTCCAGCACCTTCACCACCACGCCATCTGCTGGCCCACTCTGTTTCTTTATAAATCACCCACTCTTGGGTATTTCTATTAGCAATGTAAAAATGGACTAAGGGGGCCAGCAGGTGGTATGGTGGTTAAGGGTGTTGGACTCCCAGGTGGTAGACCATGGTTCAAATCCTGGATCTGGTGGCTTACTGTCTTGCTTTCTCTCTCTCTCTCTTTCTGTCTCTCCCTCTCTCTTTCTCTGGTCAAATTAAAGTAAGTAAATAAATACATAAATAAACTTTAAAAATGGACAAAGATACTGGTGTCCCCGGAAAGGACACATCCTTACAAAGTCTTAGAGGTGGGAAAATTGACTCAAAATGCCGCACTAAGAAGCCTGAACTGGGGCAGGGTAGACCAGCAAATGACGTATCAGTTATGTCAGTGGACTCACACATGGCTGATTGGGGTTTGAATCCCAGACCCGGTGGCTTCAAAATCACACCGGGCGCATGTGCGTGCGTGCCTAAGATCCCGAGAGGAGAATGGAGGAGAAGGGATTGCGGCGTGGCCATCCCCCCTAGGGGGTGATTTCTCACTTTCTGTCTCTCTCTCTCTGTAGCGAGTGCATGCACCCTATAGCAAAAACCTCTCCATAACAAAAAATTGAATTATTGATTTCATTTTATGTATTATTATTTTATGTATTATTTTTAATTTTTTAAAAATTTGACCAGAGAGAGAGTAAAAGAAAGTAAGAAGGCAAGCCACCAGATCCAGGACTCGAACCCTGGTCAGCCATGTGGGAGTCCAACACCTTCACCATGCCACCTGTCGGGCTCCAAGCAAAATATATTTTTAAAATAATTATTAACTTTTTTTTTTTGGAGAGTTTTTTTTTTTTTTTTTTTTTTTTTGGGTGTGGGGGTTAGACAGACAGAAAGAGACAGACAGAAAGCAAGAAATCACCTCCCAGGGGGGATGGCCACACCGCAATCCCTTCTCCTTTATTCTCCTCTCGGGATCTTGGGCACGCACGCACACGCGCATGGTGTGAGTTTAAGCCACTGGATCCAGGACTCCAACCGTGGTTGACTACATGGAAGTCCAGTGACATAGCTATTACGCTAACTGCTGGTCCCTAAAGAATTACTATTTAACTTTTTAAATTTAATTATTTTAATTTGACCAGAGAGGGACAGAGCGTGCACCAGAGAGAGAGAGAGAGAGAGAGAGAGAGAAAGCCTCCAGGTCCGGGACTCGAACCACAGCCATGTGGGAGTCCAGCACCCTTATCCACCACATAACCTGCCAGCCCACCAAGCAAAATATTTTTTATAAATATGCAAAATAACCTTGGTGTGAAGCTTAAACTATTCAACTGATTCCTTTGAACAAAAATAAAAACGGAAGCCCCAGAGGGCGTGGCCGAGCTGGCACACGTAGGCAGTAGTATGCTGCTATCCCTGCCAGGTCCACGCCCGGCGCAGGGGGGCTCACCTGCACCGCCTCCTCGTCCCCGCTGCTCGCGCCTCCACTGCTGTCTTCGCCACTGCTGTCCGCCCCTGCGTCCTGGAGTTGTGCCCGGTCCCACTGCAGCTGCTCCAGCACCAGCGCGAGGGCCGGACCCTGGGCTCGGAGGGCGGCCTCCCGGAGCTCCAGGCCCCGCTTCTTCCGCCGCAGCAGCTGCAGCCGGAGCC